GGCGCAGCCGCGGAGGAGCGGGACAGGCCGCGGCGTCCCCGCCGGCGCTTACCTTCCTCGCCATTGTCGGCCCCGGCTCCCGTCTTGTAGCAGACAGACAGGGCTGGACAAGGAGACAGCGGCCCGGGGGTCAAAGGATGGGGGGACACCACTGGCACCCGCAAGGGGCGGACGGGTCGCGAGCAGCGCCGCGACCTCCGGGGGAAACACAGTCCCAGCAAGGCAGCTCCCCGAAGGCGGGGGCCCGGGAGGCGCTCCGCGGGCTGTGCCAGGCGGGCACGAGGGGCCCGTGCCGAGTGCCCAGCGCCGTGAGGGGACGGCAGGGCCAAAACGACGCACCATCCTGGGAGCCCACCATGCTCTCAGCCCCGAGACCCTGAAGGCCGTCGGGACGGCACCGGGCAGACCCCGGGCCCGTCTGCACGTGAGACAGGAAGTCGGGGTCACGGGAGAGGGGCAGGAGGTGACCACACCTCCGGGAGACCAGAGACCTCTGTCCACTGCACCAGGGCAGGCCCCGGGGCGCAGCCTGGCCCTGACCCGGCTCCTGAGCCCCCGCCCCCCGCCCGCCCGGCACTCACTGGCGTGCTTGTCGGCCAGGGCGATGAGCGTGCTGGAGATGTCGCGCCGGCGGTAGAAGCACACCACCTTGGCCTCCACGTTGCCGTTCGCCGTCTGCAACAGAAGCAGGCTGCAGCCGCGCCCAGGCCCGGGCCAGGCCGAGGGGAAGGGGGTCCAGAGCCCCCCAGCGTGCTCTCCCGAGGCTGGCCCCGGCAGAACGCACGCGGTCCCAGCCCACACCCTGGGTCCGCGACACCCGCATGGGGCCTGCGGATGCCCAAGGCCGAGCCCCCAGCCCCGGGCACGGCGGGTGCCCCCCGCACCTTGTTGAGTTCCTCGATCCTGCGGATGAGGTACGGGTTGCTGGAGGAGTTCTCGAAGTACACATAGTCTGCAGAGAGCAGCAGAGTCAGCCAGGCCCCGGGAGCCCCGCGCCCCCGCGCCCAACGCCTGGGGCCCACCCAGGTCTGCTGTGTGGGGGCAGACGGCTGGGGGCATCATCCCCTTCCCGCAGCCACCCGCACCCATGAGGCACAGCTGCGGAGGCACGGCTGCAGGACACACCTGCGGGGACACAGCTGGAGGCACCTACGGGGTATAGGGACACACCTACAGGACTCGCCACAGAGCTCGTGTAGGTGGCACAAGGCTGAACCCTGGGACACGACAGGACAGAGGTGTCCAGGGAGGGGCTTCTGTGGGCACCAGAAGGTTCTGGAAGGAGGCTGCTCAGCACAGGACATCCTGTGCCCTGCTCCCGCCCACGGGAGCCACCGTGAGGTCAGGGTAGGCAGCTCAGCAACGGGCACCTGCCACCTCCAGGGCTCAGAAAGGAAGGACGGGGCCGGGACGCCAGCGCAGCCCCCCAAGACCCCTAGGTGCAAACAAGCCAACACCCCAACATTCCCCAGGTGGGGCGGGCGCCGGCCCAGCCCGTGGCAGTCACGGGAACAGGGAGGAGTCACGGGCACTCGGTCCACTGAGAGCCCCCCCAGGCAGCGCCCCTGCACCCACACGCCAGAGCCCGACCCCTTGGTCAAGCCGCCTGCGGGCAGAGCAGGGCAGGGCAGGGCACCCACCTGTGCCCGGGCACACCGCAGCTCACAGAAGTCCAGGGGCAGAGCCCACAACCACGGAGACCCCGGAGAATGGAGCGGGGTACCCCAAGCACTGCTGGGTGTGGCCCCAAACACAAAACAGCAACGAGAAGGGGGGAGGGCGGGCCAGGACGGCACCCACGCAGCCACTGCTCCCCCACGGGGTCTGAGCCCAGTGTCCCGTCCACCCTGGGCTCCTCCTCGACCCAGGGGACACTCAAGGGCCACAACTGAGCAGTAGCAAGTGCTGATCGTTGCCGGGGCCTGCGGGGGTCTGGGCTGCCTCAGACACCAAACTGGGGGTGACACACAAGCTGTCCCCGGCATCGGCCCGGCCACCTGCAGCCACCAGAGCAGGCCCTGGTCAGCGCTCCCTGTCAGTCCGCACCCCTGCCCTCGGGGCACACGGCGGGGGGGCCGGCCGAGCCCTCCAGCCCACGGCATCACCCTCGGGCCGTCCCAGCACCACAGTCTGGACAGAACCCGAGCAGGTGCCGTGCAGGCAGCCGGGCCCCTCGCCGTCCCCGGGGCCAGCGAACCAGGGTTTGAACGGTGTCGGGGCGAACCCCAGGCCGAGAGCCAGCACGGCAGGGGTGTCCCGGGTCCGATCCCCAGCTCGGGGAGGGCGCCCCCCAGCCCTGCCCCTCGCACACAGAGGAAGCTCCAGAAAACGCGATGGTGACATCTGAGGTACCCAGGCTCCATCGGCAAGACACGAAATGGTGTGCAGACCAGGAGTGACCAGCAGGCCAGGGGGGCGAGACGGCCGCAGGTGCCCCCCGCAGGACCCCTGGGAGGCAGCAGAGGAGCGCAGGGCTTCTCTGTTCTGCCCGGCAGGGGACACCCTCCTGTCACAGCCCACAGCCTAGTGGGAGCCCAATTGCCCTCCCCACCCCCGCACCCCACTCAGGGCCCGCCTTCCCGGCCAGAGCACCCGCTACAGCTCGGACTCGGAACAAGGGCCTGAGAGCCACACGGGGCTCCTGGGGTGGGTCTGGAGGGTTGCAAGGGGGACCCTAGGGTGAGTCTGGAGAACTGTGTGGGGGTCCCGGGGTGGGTCTGGAAGGTCACAAGGGGGGTCCCGGGGTGGGTCTCGAGGGTCGTGTGGGGGCTCCAGGGTAGATGCAGAGGGAGGCAGGGGGGTCCCGGGTTGAGTCTGGAGGGCTGCCAAGAGGGGTCCCAGGGTAGGTCTCGAGGGTCCCGGGGTAGGTCTGGAGGGTCTCAAGAAGGGTCCCGGGAGGGTCTGGAGGGCCGTGTGGGGGTCCAGAGGGAGGCAGAGGAGTCCTGAGTAGGTCTGGAGGGCTGTGTGGGGGTCCCGGGGTGGTTCTGGAAGGTCGCAAGGGGGGTCCCAGGATGGTTCTCGAGGGTCCCAGGGTGGGTCTGGAGGGCCGCAAGGGGGGTCCCGGGTGGGTCCAGAGGACATCGGGGGGGTCCCGGGGTGAGTCTTGAGGGCCCTGTGGGGGTCCCGGGGTGGGTCAGGAGGGTCTCAAGGGGGTCCCGGGGTGGGTCCGGAGCGTTGCCTGGGGGTCTCGAGGTGGGCTCGGAGGGTCGCGTAGGGGCCCGGAGGGCTGCCCGGGGATCCTGGGGCGAGTGCCAAGGGCCGCCGGCGGACCGGGTCCGAGAGACCGCGACCACGCCAACTTGTGGGCTGTTTGGGGTCTCCGCGCCTGGGTCAGCAAGGAACCAGAGACCACCCCCCACCGCCCTGCCCGCCCCCGAGGCCCCGCGGGGCGCCAGGTGCCAGGAGGGACCCCCCTCGCGGACGCCCCCTGCAGACGCGGCCGCCAGCCCCGGAGCGGGCGTCAAGACCCCCGACGGCGACCGACAGGGCCGGGGCGGGGGACCCCGCAGGCGGCCGGCCGGGAGCTGCGGCCGCGGCCCAGGGAGGGGGCGCAGCGGGCGGGACCGGGGGTCGGCACGGCGGGCCGGGGCCGGGGCCGGGGCCAGGTGAGGGTGGGCGGCCCCTCCCCCCCGGGACGGGCAGGGGGCGGAGGGAGCGCGGGGGGCCGCGGGGGAGGCGGCGCGGGCGCGGCGGCGGGCGGGCGGGTGGGGGAGGGGCGGTGGGGGAGGGGCGGCGGCGGCGGCGGGGGGCGCGCGGCGCGGGGGCGGCGGGGGCGGCCAACAGGTGGGCGCGGGCGGGCGGCGGCGCTTACCTCCGACCCGGTACATGTTGGCGGCCATGTCCGGGCGGCGGGCGCCGGGAAGATGGAGGCGGCGGGCGCGGGCCGGGCGCCGGGCGGGCGGTTTAAAGGGGCCGCGCTCCCGCCGCCGCCGCCGAGCCCGCGAGGCCGCGCACACCGAGGCCGCGCCGGAGCGGAAGGGGCGGGGCCTGGCGGGGCGGGGCCTGCGCGGCCCGGCGCGACTTCCGGCCCCCCGCCCGCCCGGGACCCCGGCCGAGATGCGGGCGGGGGAGGGGCGCCGGGCTCGGGGGCGGGGTGGGACGTCCGGCGGGACGACCCCCTGGCCGTCCGGGCAGGCCGCGGCTGGGGGCGGCCGAGGACAGGGTCCAGCCGCCCCAGAGCTGGCCCCCCACCCCAGTGGGGTCACTGAGCTACAAAGGCCGGGGCAGCACCAGGCAACGGTTTATTCTTCCCCTCCCCCCAGGGCAGAGGGTGACCCAGGGGCACAGCCCCCCCCCACACACACACCCTATCACCCGGCATGTGACCCGCATGGCTGCAGCACCCAGTCACCAGGCCCAGGCCCGTGCACCGAGGCACGGGGTCATGGGGCCTGGGGACAGCCATGGGCAGCACACACAGCCCCAGTGACAGGAGGCTCTGCTGGCCAGGTCGCGGCCAGGCCCCGTCTCTCCTGGCACCGCTGAAGAGTGGGGTCCTGGGGCGTGGGGGCGACACCCAGCCGCGGGGACAGCCCAGGAGAAATGGTCCAGCTGCACAGATGTACTCCATCCCGGATGTGTCATCAATCTGGCCCTTCCCGCCAGCCCGCCCCCATGCTCTATGATGTCCCCAAGTTTCTGTCCACCCCCCCAGGGACCCTGGGGTCACACACATTCAGGGGCGCCCAGAGAGTGGCACGCTGATGGCCTGGAGTGAGGGACTGCCCTTCCTGGCCACCCCGGCTCCCAGACACTGCCCACTTCTCCTCTGGAGGACTGGGGGCCCAGTGCAGGGTCCAGGAAGTCTCCTCATACAAGGCACTGTGGCCTCAACTTCCCCTGGTCCGGTGTACCCACGTGGGCATCCCCGAAGTCGAGCCGCAGAGCCACGGCTGGGCAGGCAGCAGGCGCTGACCTCGACGCTCCCCCCAACGCCCAGCCCCGGCCGGGGCAGCTGAGCACAAGAAAGCACGCGGACACGACACAAGCTGAGACAACTCTTAGACTCGGGGGGAGCCCGAGGGCCCCTCGCGCCTCCAGGGGGACAAGCCGGGGCCCACGTCGGAGCGAGACCCCTCAGCAGGCAGGGCCAGCCACGGGGGCCGGGGAAGTAGCACGTCCTTGTCCACGCCCTCCGACAGCAGCGAGGCCACCGTCTGCAGGATCCTCTGAGGAAGGCAGTGCCAGTCACGCGGGCCGGAGAGGGGCCACAGGCGCCCCCCACCCTCCTGCTGGGCTCCCCACGCACCCTGTCGGGGGAGGGGGACCCGAGGACCAGCTGGCGGCGCTCCTCCAGGTCCATGCTCCACTGACACCTCCGCTGCCCACTCTGGGGGGGCTCACACACCTGCAGGGACACAGACGCCGGCCGCGCCTGCTCACAGATGCCCACAGCACTGCCCCGGGCAGCGGTCAGTACAGTGGCCTGGGCAACGGCCCCGACAGCAGTCAGTGCAGTGACCCGGGCATTATCATTGCAGGGGTCAGAACGCTGGCCTGGGCTAGTCAAGGATGGGGTTCAATGCAGTGACCAGTGTGGTGGTCCAGGCAGTGGTTAGTGCAGTGACCAGTGCAGTGGCCTGGGCAGGGATCGGTGCAGTGACCCGGGCAGCTGTCGAGGACGGGTCAGTGCAGTGGCCAGTGCGGTGGCCCGGCAACAGTCAAGGGCAGCGGCCAGCGCAGTGATTGAGTGCAGTGGTCATATAGTGGCGGGTGGGTGCAGTGGCCAGTGCAGTGATGGGTGTGGTGTCCTGGGCAGGACCGTACTGGAGCCGCCTCGCCCAGCAGCTGCGCGGTGGGGGTCTTTCTTGGGCCCCAGGCGGACGAGGTGCGCCCCCAAGGCAGACAGATGGGAGCGGCCTGTGATGGCACTGCGGGGTTCTGCTGCCTTCCGGGAGCCTCCTGAGGGTACAGGGGCCCCGAGGCAGGACAGCGGGCAGGGCACTCACCTCCACGCCAATCGGAGTCTATCCCACACCCAGAAGGCCCCCTAATCCGCATCAAGAGTGCTCCCTGAGCACAGAGCCATGAGTCAGCCCTGAGCAAAGCCCAGTGGTGTGGCCCAGAAAAAGTACAGAAGAAAATCCAAAGCAAACCCTCATGCTAAGTCCTCCAAGGGTGCAAACTCGAACCACAGCACGCAGGCTATGGTTACTCCGGGCCCCATGCTGCCCTCAGGACACGGGACCAAGCCCAGAAGGCGGGCTGGGGCGTGGAGGGACAGAGACCCAGAAATGGTAGGGTGGGCCCCCGCCTGCGAGCAGCCCCCAGCAGGCAGGGCTCTCTGCCAGGAGTGGGGTGCAGGCAGGGGCTGGACCCATCCCCGGCACCCCAGGATGGCACGTCGTAGTGGATACGCTGCAGAGAGGCCGCAGGGAACAAGCCTGTGAGGGACAGGGCTGGGAACACGCGCCCACACTTCCCAGCCTGGTCAGACAGGGCAGGGCACAGCGCTGCCCCGCGGCTCTCACACAGGACCGGGGCAGCCCCAGTGGGAAACTGCAGAGGGGCACGGAAGTGAGGACACCAAGACCCAGTCCTAATGGAGCTGCCTATGCCAGGCACACACACACACACACACACACACACACAGTGGCAAGAACTTGCTCTCACTCCCGGTACACACACACACACACACACACACACACACACACACACACACAGTGGCTAACACTTGCTCCCACTTTCAGAACAGCCACAACCCAGCCCCACATACACACCCTCAAGCTCACACCACACAGCTGCACTAACATGCACACCTCACCACACATCCACACCACCACATTCATGGGAGTCACACGGACACTCATCACACAACAGTCCTACATATCAAAACTTACAATCCCAGGCAGTCCTGTGCACTCAGATGCACATGCTCATACAAGTCACAGCCACTCACAATGGCAATCACACGCATTCACATGCTAGCCAGACACACAGTTGCATGCTCTCACACGAATGCATTCACATACCCGAACTCACACCCAAATACAGCCATGCTCGTTTACTCACACTTGCTTAAGCCTCAAATCGCGTTTCATTCCAGACACACTCATTCATCTTTGCACTCACGTGTCCAACACACACACACACACACACACACACGCAAACTCAAATGTGAAGGGACACACGCTCCACCCCGCACACACATAATCTGCCTGGGGAAGGTGCTAGAACAGCTCCAGAATCCTGCGGAAGTACCCTCAGGGCAGGCGCCCTGGAGGCGAGGAGACAGGCAGAGGATGCGCTGCTGGGAGACCTTCCCGGGCATCAACGGGAGACTCCGGACGACGCATGAGGCCAGGAGGAAGGTCGGCCTGGGAGGCTCTGAGCCGCTTGTCCCTGGCCAGCTTCGGTGTCCGAGGGGGTGCTGCCGTGCTGCCCTTGGCCCTGTGGGTCCCATATGGAGGTCTTCGGTGGGAGAGTAGGTGGGGTGAGGGTCTGTATGTAGAATGCGATGTCGCGTGAGTGGGCGCCACGAGTGCAAGTGGGGTGCACCAACGGGAGACAGCTGATGGGAGCACACGCCATGCCCCCCCCACAGAGGGTCTCGGACCCAAGCCCAGGGTGCCAGGAGGGTCAGACTAGAACCCAGGGTCCCGGAGGTCGGGTCTCAGACCCGAGCCCAGGTGCTGCTGGGGTTCGGGGGGACAAGCCCAGGGCTGGCGTGGCCTCTGCTTCTGGCTTCCAGACCTGGCAGGTTCTGGGCCTGGCCTTGGGGTCCTCAGCGAATTTGGGGTCCCTGCTGTGTGCTGGTCCTCTCCCCTGTACCGGAATAGAGATACGGGCTTAGCATGCATCAACAGGCTTCGCTCTTTTTTTTTTGCTTTTTGGGTCACACCTGGCGCTTCACAGGGGTTACTCCTGGCGGTGCTCAGGGGACCCTATGGGATGCTGGGAGTCGAACCCAGGTTGGCCACGTGCAAGGCAAACGCCCTACCCGCTGTGCTATCTCTCAAGTCCCCAGCTTCGCTTCTGAAGGAGTTCCTGGAACCTGTGAACTGTGTCAAGGCGCGGTGACACGCGACGGTCCCCATCGCCCTAGAGCCCTGCATCCCGTGCACATTCGAGGCTTCTGCTTTGGCTCACACCCTACAACCAAGGCCGTTCTTCGGGTTTACTCCCGCCGTGCTCAGGGATCACTCCTGCAGGGCCCGGGGGCCATCCGGGGCGCTGAGGGTCTCTGCAGACGGGTGGGCTGCGTGCCGGTACTCTCCGGCCAAACACTCATCATTTTCGTGGGCACTTTTTCGGACACACCCGGCAGTGCTCAGGGCTTCCTCCTGGCTCTGTGCTCTGAAGTCACTGCTGGGGGGGGGGGGGCTCGGAAGACCCTACGGGTGCCAGGGACCACGCCCAGGCTGCCCAGGGCCCAGGGCAGGGCGCGCCCTCCCCGCCGCTCCTGAGCCGCGCTCAGGTGTCCCCGTGCGCGTGGGCAGCACCTGGACCCCGGCCCCGGGGTCACTCTGCTTCGTGGACCCCAAGGGCACGCTGCCCCTGGCCTGACAGGGCCCACGTGCGTGCGTGGCGCGGAGGTCTTGGCTCGCCGGGCGGGGGTCCCCGCCTGGCTGCCCCCGGGAGCCCGGCCCGGCCCGGGGGTCCCCGTCTTACCCAGTCCTGGGTCTGCAGGCCCCGCGGGCAGCCCCCGCCGCGCGCGCCCACCTCGCCGGCCGCCCGGCCGCGGGCCCCCCCGCCCCCCGGGACCCTCGACGGTGGGCGCATGTCCGATGCCCCCGCGCTAGGCCGGCGGCCGCACTGCCCCTCGCCCCCCCGGGCCGGCCCCGCCCGCCCCTGTGACATCACGCCGCCACCGGGCCACGCCCAGAGCAGGACGGGGCCGCGCGCTGGACACCCGGGCGGGCACTTCCGGGCGCGGCCCCGCCCACTTCCGGCCCGCCCGCGCCCGCGCCCCGCGGCCCCCCTCGCCCCCCCAACCCGCGGAGACCCCCGCAGGCCCCGCGCCCAGGAACCACGCGGCGGGCCTGGGGTGCGTCTCCAGGTTTATTCTGTCGCATCAGCACCTTAAAATAGTCCACAGTCACGTCTGTGACAGATTAGAATCTGTTCCCCCAAAAGGTTATTTACATTAATCCTGTTTTGCGTTAAAAAAATCCTAGCAACACACACCCTAGAAACCAGCGATGCACGGTCTGCAGGGGTGCACGGCCCGCCCCCCCCCCCCCCCACGCCCGGGCAGGAGCCCTCGGCAGCAGGCGGCCTGGGACAAAGGCCTGACCGAGGGCAGCTGGGCCTCACCCCGAGCCAGGCCGGTGCAGCAAGGCCGGGAGCCCCAGGCCCCTGCGCGACCCCGGGGAGATGGGAACACAGCGGCATTGGGGCAGGGCTGGACCCGGGCAGGGCGAGTCTCGCTACTCCCACTGCTGCATTGCCACTGCCCGGCCCACTGGCCCAACCCGAGGCCTCGATGCAGACCCACGGGCCGTCCCGACCGGGCGCCCCCACAGACCACTCTGGCCTCTGCAGCTTCTGCCTCTGAGGAACCAAGTGCTGGCCAAAGCCCTCAGAACAGCTCCATGAGGTAGGCAGGCGAACGTGGCTGCCCCCGTGAACAAACGGGGAAACTGAGGCACGGGGGTGAGTGCAGCCCAGGTCTCCACGTCGGGCGTGTGCTGGGGCCACTGGCAGGGCCTCCCGCGAGGGACAGGATCCACGGGGCCCTTCCTCGAAACCAGTCGAGTGGCGCGGGAGGGTGGGTCCCTGCATCCCTCCTCACCTCCAGGCGCCCGCTTCCACTTCTGCCCCGCGACCCGCCTGGGGTCACAGCGCCTACCACAGAGTGGGGCCTGGGGTCCCCGGTCCAGATGAGCCTGTCTACAGAGCAGCCCCTGGGGGGGGGGGGGGCTGCTCCCAAGAGCAGGGGTGGTCAGGATGGCCCGAGACCCGAGGATTCTGAAGGGGCAGGTGCCCAGCCCTGCAGGGTCCCCCTGGCCGTCCTGGATGAGCAGGCCCCCAGGCAGGTAGCCGCAGAGGCCACCTGAGTGCTGGGTGGGCGTCGGGGGGGGGGGGCAGCTCGGGAGGGGCTTTGGGTGGGCTGCGAGGGTGTTTGAGAGCTACACTGTAACCTGCTGGGAAAAGCGTTAGAAAACGGCCGGAGGGCACGGGGGCTGGGCCAGCGGCGCTTTCCTGCCCCAAGCCGGACCCTCCCCGGCCACTCCACTTGGTTAAGGGCAGCGCGGGGGGCGGGCCGTGAGCGCGTCCGTTAGTGTCCAGGCTGCGAGCACATCATACTGGAGACTTGCTGAGTTTACGCGTCTGTCATGAACCAAAGGGGACCAGGAAGCAGCTGGGCCTGGCCGTGCCCCGAGCAGGGCCGCGGGGGCTAGAAGGAGGACTTGGAGTGGCCGAAGATGCAGATGGGGAAGTGCTTGACATGGGAAGACCACTGCGCCGCCAGCTGGAAGAACTTGACGTCGTTCCACTCCACCCCGTCGATGAGGACTGTGGGGACAAGAGCGCCTGACGGCGAGCTCCTCCCGGCGTGCAGAACCTCCTCCGCTTGGACCAGGAATGAGGCAGCGCGCGGAGCACAGTGCCGGACGGAGCCAGGGGGGCCCCCGAGTCGCGCCGCACTGGGCCGAGATGCTCAGGGGAGCCCGGTGGGGACAGCGGGGGACGGGCCGGCCCACGGGCGGGGGCTCACCTCGCAGCATGTTCTGCTGGTGCTTGGCCGTGCAGATCAGCCGGCTGATGCCCTCCACACACTGACTCTTGGGCTCCGCGTCCCTGTCCTTGGTCTTCTTGGGCAGGAACATGACTAGGAGAAGGACCCGCCGTGAGGCCGCGCCCCCCCACCAGCCTCCTGCGGGTCGGGGGCATCCCTCCGCCCCCGCCTCACCCTTCTTGTTCTTCTCCTTGGTGACCACGGTCATGGACATGGTGGGCGTGGGCGCAGCCTCGCCGCCGCTGGGCAGCCTGCTGACCTGGAGGGACCGGAAGGTGCTCTTGAGCGTGGTCTTGGCCGCGGGCAGCTCCCGCTTCTCAGCGTCCCTCTTCCTGTCGGCCGGCAGGGCTGACGTCCAGTAGTCCACCTGCAGCCCCATGAGCTCGGCGCCGACACCCTGGCTGGAAGAGCGGGCCCTCAGCCTCCGGCGGGCCACAGAGTGGGGGCCACAGAGGGGCGCTCCGGGCGGGGGGCGGGGGGGGCGCTACCTGGGGGAGGACAGGCCGCTGCTCACAGACGGGGAGGACGGCGGGGTGGGCGAGGCCTCCTTGGCGGCGGGCGACGTGGACGGCGGGGTGGACGAGAGCACGCAGGAGCCAGAGGGGGCCGCGTCGTCAGAGTCGCCTGGGGAGGGGCCCAGGGCTGTGAGTCCTGCGCCCGCGTGCCCACCCCGGGCCCACCCGGCTAGGACTCACCTGACGTGGCTGAGGACGGCTCCACGATGCCCACCTTCACCACCTGCAACACAGCGGGCACCGGCTGCAGCGGTGCTGCCCTCCCACCCGCCCGCCCGCGACACCAAGCCCCACACCATGGCAGGAAAGCAGCCGGGCACCACATCCACCAGGGCTCGGCCGCTCCCCACCCCCGTGCCTCCGCCCCACACCCACCCAGGGTCCTGTCTGCTGCCACGTGGCGCGTGGGCGACGGCCGGGCACTCACCCCGACGAAGGGGATGAACTTCTGGGCAGACTCCTCGTCAGGGCTAGAGCGAGAGAGACCCCGGTCACCCCCTGGCCGGCCGCGGGGCAGGACCCATCGGGCTGGGCTCCGGGGGCTATCGCTGTCCCAGGGGCCGCATCAGCTACAGCCAGCGCCCCGACGTCGGGCACACCGTTTCCTCCCGTGGAGTCTGCACAGTCAGCACCAGGCGGGGGGCACTCCGCCTTGAGGGCGCCTAGCACACGAAGACCCCCCCGAGGCCTGGCGGGTCCTGGCAGTGACTCCAGGACGCTCCGACCCCGGGCCTGAGTTCGAGCCCCCAAGGCCACTGCCCCCACGTCAGGGCCTGCTCAGCAGGGGTGGGGAGGGGCGGCACAGAGCCGTGGCGCCCGCCTACCTTCTGTGGGGCCATGCCGGCTGCCCCCGGGCCCCCCAGACTCTCCCCTTCTCGGCAGAGCAGAGGCCCCTTGCGACCTCCTGAGAAATGACCCGGCTGCATGCGAGGGTCAGGGACAGGGCCCCGGGGTCCAGACACAGGCTCCCAGCGCAGCCCGGGGGCCAGGACGGGCGCACGACAGACGGGAAGCCAAGCTCGCGGCTGCATGCGGGCATCCTCCAGCTGGCACGGCCATGCCCCGGGAGCGCCCCAGGGGCGGGGCTGAGGCCATGCAGGCCGCTGGGCTCTCTCCTCCGCTCAGGACAGCGCGGGACTGGCTGGGCCCCCCGGGGACCCACAGCGCGGGAGGGCTGCCGCCTGGGCTCAGGTCCTGAGCGGAGCAGGGATTCTCTCGGGAGGGCGCCTGCTGCCCACGCGGGCGGGCGCTCCCGAGATGCCCGGCAGGGGACCACCAGCCCCGGGGCAGCACCCTCGGGGCGCGCCCACCTGCAAACTCTGCTAAACAGCCCCAAAGACCAGCCTGGGACAGGGCAGAGGCCGAGACAGCAGTACCTGAGGGTAAAGTCAAAATGAAAGTTCTTTCTCCTTTTCAGAAAGCGCGGGGAGAGAACGAGACACAGGTTACCGCGCCGCCGGCGGGGCGGGAACACGGGCGCTCGCTCAGCGGCCGCCCCGACGCCCCCAAGGCCCTCGGCCCCGGCCCCAGGACAGAGCCGCCCTTTCGGGAGAGATTTCCCGGCGCCTGTCGCCCCAGACCCTCCCGGGAAGCAAACCAAGTTCCTACTCGGGAGAGTGCCCGGGTGGACGCAGGGGCGACGCGGGGCGGGTACCTCTTCTGCTTGTAGGTCAGCATGGCCTCCGCGATGGGCAGCGGGTGGGCGCAGTTGGCCCCCGAGATGTACTGGGTGATCCGAGACACGATGTCGGGCGTGTCCTGCACTGCACGAGGAGGCGAGGCCGACTGGGTGGGTGCAGCCGCTGCGGCCCGCCCGCCCGCCCAGCGGCCCAGGCCAGGGCTGGCCCCGCGGCCCCCAGGGCAGCCGCCCGCCGCCCGCCCTCACCGGTGCTCTGCGCCTCCAGCTTGTTGAACAGGTCGCGCCACGCCAGGTCCTGGAAGAAGTTGTTGTAGCGATAGTCCACGGAGCCCAGGTAGCGGGCCACGGGGTGCGAGCCTGCAGGCCACGGGCTGGGGGTCAGGCCGGGCCCCTGCGCGGGCCGGGCGGGCCGGGGTCCCCGCGGCCGCCCCCGCCGCGGCTCACCCAGCGGGATGACGAGGAAGCGCATGTAGCCCAGCCAGTCGGGCGTGCGGTGGGACAGCTGCTCCACGAAGAGCCGCAGCACGGCGCTGAGGTAGTGCTGGGCGCCCGCCACCGCGATCTTCACGGGCCGCGGCGGCTGCGAGTTGCAGTTGCAGCTGCTCGGGGAAGGGCGGGCACAGGCACAGGGACAGAGACAGACGCCTCAGGGAGCGCCGCGCCCCCGGCCCACCCCCACGGCGGGAGCCGCCCCACTCACTATCTCTGGATGCGCGAGACGATGGTGCAGAAGGCGGCCTGCACGTCGGCGGCCGAGCAGGTGCAGACCACGGGCAGCGTGTGCCGCTGCAGGACGCCCGACAGGAACTGCGGGAGCTCGGCGTGAGGCGCGCCCGCGGCGCTGCCCCCCTGTCCCGTCCGCCCCCGATCCCCGCCCCCACCCGCACCTGGCCCTGCCAGTCGGACGTGTTGACCAGGATGATGCTGTCGGGGAGCTGGTCGTCGGAGACCAGGATGTGGTTCAGCTGGTCGTACACGGTCTTCCGCGGGATCTGGGGACACGGGCCGGTCACCGGAGGGCCGGGTCCCACCCCCGGCGCCCGCCACGCGGGGCCGGCGGCCGCGCCCACCTGCAGCTGGCTGCGCGCGTCGGGGCAGCGCTCGTTGTCCAGGCTGTTGGCCCGCTCGTTCTGCGGCCGCGCCGGCTGCCGCTCCTTCAGCGACGTGCTACGGCCCCGGCGGCCGGCCTGCTTGCCCTCACTCCTGCGGGGCGGGCACGGGAAAGGCTCAGGCCGGGGTCGGAGGCGGCGGGACCCCAGGCCCGGGGCCGCCCCTGCCCGGCCTCCCGCCCACCTGGTGGAGGGGATGACCAGGGACTCGGTCTTGGTGATGCGCCCGCTGGGCGGCCGCTTCTCGGTGAAGACGTCGGGGCTGTTGGTCTCCGACTCGGGGCTGTCCTGGGGCGCTGCCGGCGGCTCCCCGGGGCCCGGGCCGCTGTGCTGGAGGCGAGAGGAGCGGCGGCGTGGCGGCAGTGAGGCCAGGTGGCTGGCAGGGGGCAGGTGTGGCAGGATGTGGCCCACCTGGGGCCACCCCTCGCCTCCAGCCGGGAGCCCGCACCGAGACCCCAGCCCAGCCCCGCCACACAGCCGGCCCGGTTCCCGGGGCGCCTGCCGCCATCCCTCTGCCCGCTGTCCTGGGTCCCAGGCCCCAACTGCCCCAGGGGGCCTCTGCCGCAGGGGCAGCTCCCAGCCCCGACTGTGGCTGTGCCGGGTTTGCGGGTGCCGGTGAGGAGAGGTGCCCGTGGCCCCGCCGCTTACGTGTGCCACCAGGTCGGAGGCGCTGTCGCTGGGCAGCTTCACCCCCAGGGCCCGGGTCTTCTCGGGCACATCGGTCTGTGGGACAGATGCCATCAGTCTGCGGGAACGCGGAGGCTGGCGGGGCCCCGGCGGGCGGTGGGGTGGGCACTCACCGGGCTGGCGGCCTCCTTCTGGCTGCGGCCGCTGTGGACGCTGCCCACCTCCGTCTGCGAGCTGGAGTGCGACAGGCCTTCGAAGTAGGGCCTGCGGGCGGGCGCGGGGCTCAGCGGTGCCTCTGCTCGGGCTCTCGGCCAGCCGGGCAGGATCAGCACCCGGGGGCACAGCTGAGAGGTGCGGGAACCCCCGTGGCCACACGGGCACAGAGCTGGGTACTGAAGGCGTGGGCAGGGGGTCGACCCCCCCCCCAGCAGAACGACAGTGGGGGGATGGACGGGCGCATGTCCCCTGCACTTCTCTGTCCATCTCCCTGTACACGGGGATAGGGCGGGAGGCCTCGCTCACCGCACCCCAGGCCTGCCCAGCCTCCCACTGCCACTCAGCCCCAGAACATTCTAGAAGCAACTGAGGGTCCTCCCGGGTGCTCCTGGCATGGCCCACCTGAGCTTCGGCTTCGGGGTGCTAAGGACGCTGTCGTCATCGTCCATGTCGGGGCCGCTGTCGCTGGGCTCCAGCGCGTCGTACAGGAGGTCCAGGTCTTCCTCCACCTCGGGGACATGTTCCGTCGGGTCCTGCTCCGAGTCCAGGACCTGCCAGAGGGCGCCCGTCAGAGGATGCCGCGGCCAAGCCCGCTCTGCCCCCTGTGCTGTCCCTGTGCCTCTGGCCTGTCTTCAGGCCCCGCTGTGGCCCCGGCCACCCCCGCGTTTGGGGGAACACGGGCAGAGAAGACACCGTGACCCGCCTTCAAATGTGAGCCCAGGTCCCCGTGGGGGTCTTTCTTGGATTGGGGGCCACACCCCCCGGGTGATGCTCAGGGGTTAAGCCGGCGCTGCACTCAGGAATTACTTTGGCGGTGCTCGGGGAACCATATGGGTGCCCCCCACGGGGCCAGTGCATGCACCCCCCCCCCGCTGTTTGGTCTCCTCGAGCCCCACGTGTGTCTTTCTGAGCCATTTCTGGACCCTCCAGAGCATCTTCCTCTTCTGCGTTCACAAGTTCCCACTGTGGTGCTGGGGAGATGGTTCGAGGGCTAAGGCGCTCGCCTAGCGTGCAGCTGTGCCCGGGGTTCGAATCCCGGCACCCCCTACGGTCCCCGAGCACAGAGCTAGGAGTGGAGCCCCAAGTAAAAGAGTCTCACGTGGAAACCAAGCCTGGCGGCCAAGCACCCGGGTCTAGAAGCTGACTGAGGCAGCGGGAAGACCCCTCCCGATCCCGGCCCAGGAGGGACTTGGGGGGCTGCGACCTGATGCCCGCCCTGCTCCCTGACCACATGGGCAGCAGGCGGCCCCTCTCACAGGCCAGGAACCTGCACCTGACTCTCCTTGGCTACAGGAGAGTCCAGGGGGAAGGGCCTTGCCCTGCATGCGGCCACCCTGAGTTCAATCCTCGGCATCCCCAAGCACCACCAGGAGTAATTCCCGGGTGCAGAGCCAGGAGCGACTCTGAACCTTGCTGGGTGGGGCCCAAAATAAAAACAAAAAGGCCAGAACAGGGGGCCGAGGAGACAGGCCTCGGCATGTGGGCCAGGCAGAGGACGTTGAGACTGGAGCAGCTCTGCAGAGCGGGTGCCGCGTGAAGACTGCGTCTGGAGGGTGCCGCGTGGAGACCGCGTCTGGAAGGGGGCAGGGCCCCGCCGCTCCTGACCACGGGGCCACAGACGGCGGGTCGGGCGCCGGCCTTGCGTGTGGCGGCCCAGTTTGCTCCCTGGCACTAGAGTCCTCTGCGCCCTGCCAGGAGCGATCCCGAGCACAGAGCCAGGAGTCAATGTGAGGCACTGTTGGGTGTGGCCCCAAGTCACAGAATAGGACAATATCACCTACTTATAAGGAACCCCAAGCCGGGGGTCACGGGCAGTAAGTGCCCAGGGTGCAGACCGGGGCCTGTCCTAGTACTGCCCTGCCCGGCAGTCCAGGGACCTCCAAGCACATGGCCCAGGACTCCGCGGCATGGACTGCTGGTCAGGCAGGCTGAGAATGGCCAGCAGGGCCTGTGCACCCAGGGGGCAGGCACTGGCCTTGCGGGTGCCACCCCGGCTCCAGCCACCTGCCCAGCCCCCAGGACTGACCCGAGCCCGCCACGCCAGCCCACAGCCCCTCACCTCATCCGACACTTTGAACCTCCGCAGCAGAGCCACCACTTTCTGCTTGAAATTCTGCTGCTGCAAGACACGGGAGGTCAGGGGCTGTGTCACTGCCAGGACCAGGGACACCTCCACGGAGAGCTCCCTCGACAACGGGAGCTCCTAGAAGCTTCCACGGCCAATGAAGCCAACCTGCCAGCTCCCCGAGACCCCGCAAGGGCACAGCTCAGCTCTCTCCAGGGCCCATGCTACAGAAGGAGCCTCCCAACCACTTCTGGAACACGTGGCGCCCACGGGGGCTGCAGGGCCCAGGGTCGGGTGCGGGGTCCCAGGCGCCCCAGCAGCGAGGGCCGTGGCACAGATCGGGCCCTGAGCTTCGCGGGTACCCCCCCCCCCGGGAGCCCCTGGACAGCCCCCAGCTCCCCTCTGGGAGCGAGCAGGTGAGGAGCGACCCAGTTTTCTCTGCCCTGAGCAGGTGGCAGGAGCCCAGCAGGGCACAAGGGGCCCCTCCCGAGCGGGTCACCGGGGAAGCCCCGAGCAGACTCCCCCTCCCCAGGACCAGGACCCAGCACAGCGCCCAGCAGCCCCACCGACCCTGGTCATGGAGGTGGCTCTGACTACGGAGCGCCGCTGCTTCTCCGCCTTCCCCACGTCGAAGTCATCCTCGTCCAGGTCCTGCGGAAACAGGTGTCCGAGCCCGGCCAGTGCAGAGCAGAGGATACCACTCGGCACGGCCAGCACAGACACACAGACAACAGCCCCAAAACACGCAGACACGCAGACGCACACGCACCGACTCAAAGACACACCAACAGACCCCGAGACACATAGACACAGGCAAAGACACACAGACACAGACCCACAGACACGCACAGACCCACAGACGCCCTGACAGACCCCGAGACACACAAACACGCACAGACCCACAGACATACAACGGGCCCAAGACACAAAGACACACAGACTCACAGACACACGATAGCCCCGAGACATACAGACACACGCACAGAATCACAGAAACACAGACCCACAGATGCACACACAGACCCACAGACACACTGATAGACGCACGACAGGCCCAAGACACACAGACACAGACAGACTCACAGACGCATGATGGCCCTAAGACACATAAACACACACACGCACAGACACGCTGACAGACGCCGAGACACACAGACTCATAGACACACTGACAGGCCCCAAGACACAGACACATACAGGTGCTCACATGACACACGTGCAGAGACACACAGGCACAGTGACTCACAGACGCACACGCAGACTCACAGATGCACCGACAGAGCCTGAGACACACAGACACACGTGCAGAGACACACACATAGACCCACAAACACACATGCACAGCCCCACAGACGCACAGCCGCCTGAGACACACAGACACACACAAACTCACAGACGCACTGAAAGAGACCAGAACACACAGACACACACACACACACACACACACAGATCCACAGATGCACAACAGGACTCAACACAAAAAGACACAGACACACTGGCAGACCCCGAGACACAGACACACACACGCACAGATGCTCACACAGACACACGTGCAGGGACACACAGACACGCAGGCACGCTGACCTGGCCCTGCACGGCGTCGTCGCTGGCCTCCTGCTCCGAGGAGAAGCTCTCGTCCTCCTCCTCCGAGTAGTTGTCTGCGGAATGAGGGACGGAAGGGCGGTGCCGTGAGGTTCCGGCGCGTCCCGGCGATGACCCGCCCCCGGCCCCCCCCCCACTCACCCGCGGACTTGGCCTTGGGCCCGGGCTGCAGGGCGCTGTCCTCGTGGTCCACGGGCTGGCTGCACAGCGAGAAGACCCAGACCTCGGCCACCCTCACGGCCGCCTCCTTGGTGCCGCTGCAGAGCCCCAGCACCTGGCCACCCTCCGACGGCTGCTGCATGACCTGCGGGGGCAGCGGCTGAGGGCGCGGCCCGGCCCCGACCGGCCCCCCGCACCGGGACGGAGGGCGCCGCGTGGCCCCGCTGGCTCACCTGGGCCATGTTGATGGCGCCGGCCGCCAGCGTCTTGTAGCCCAGGATGGTCCGGTTCTTGTAGCGCTTCCGCCGCTGCAGCAGCACCTGCAGCTTGTTCCCCTCCCGCTTCAGGAAGTGGGGGTACTGCAAGGGGCCCCCCGTGAGCGCACAGCCCGGCAGGAACCACGCGAGGGGGGGACGAGGGGGAGACAGCAGGAGGCGGGGGTGCACCCCGGTCCCAACCGGGCCCCTGCCGCCAGCCAGCCCGGCTCACCTGCAAGGAGAATGTCAGCGCCAGGTCCGTCTCCACTTGTCCACTGGGGGGCAGCACGATCTCGTGGGACCGCAGGATCCGCTTGGAGCCCTGGGGACAGGCCGCAGTTACGGGTGGGTCAGCCGCCCGAGGTGACTGCGGGTTGGGAAAGGGGCCGCGGGCCAGAGGCAGAGGCGGCCCAGACCCTGGAAGCGCAGGGGTGGGTCTGGCCTCTCCCTCCTCCACGCCTTCCCCTGCACCTCAGGGTGCTCCCTGAGCACCCAGCGGCTCGGCCCCCTCAGTCCCTGGGGGGCAGCAGAGGGCAGGGGGCAGGGAGGGAGGGCTGGCCCGGTGGCTGCGAGGCCGCTTGTCCGCCTGACCCCACCCCCGAGCAGAGGGAGCTGTGGGAGGGGGCGCTCCCGGACCCCCGCAGCCAACACGAAAGGCTGAGCCAGGGTGTGGGTGTTCCTGAGCACCACAAGTAAAGGGTCTCCACCAGGACCTGAGGGCGCCCCGCGCTGGATGGCCGGGGGTCTGCCGCCTCTGCTCTGGGGGTGCCAGCACTGGCCCCGGCAACACCCCCACCACCCACCCACCCCCCTCCAACGCCGCCCACCTGCATCTTGACGGCGATGACCACGGAGATGAGCTCCTTCTCCAGCTCCCGAAAGACCACCAGCTTCTTGACCGTCAGGCTGCACAACCTGCGGGGGCGGCAGCTCAGGGCCTGGGCACCCCCACGGCGGCCTGACCCCTCACCCTCACCCCCGGGCCAGCCTCCCCTGCCCTCCTCCCCCATCTCAGCGCCCCCCCCAACCCGCCTCACCATCGGGAGGTGTGACCCTGAGAGGCAGGACTAACCCCCTGGGGGGACCAGGGCGACACCCCTGGGCCCAGGGGAGCCAGGAGCCAGGCGCGGGGGACACGGCGCCCCCTGCCGGACGCCCCCTGCCAGCCGGGGAGGAGTCAGGGAGGGGCCAGCACCTGGGCCCAGCCCTGCTCTGGAGCCAGGCTGGGAAATGCCGGACCGGCAAGAGCACTGAAGAGCAGCAGGAAGAGTATCGGGATAAGCGCAGGGGCAGCAGCGGGGGAGGGCAGCGGAGGCCTCAGGCACAGGCAGCTGCCCACGGCCCTGGCAAGGCAGCCCAAGGACAAGAGCACACTCCGGCAGGAACGGAGGGCCGGCAATTCCCCGCACCAGGCACCCTGGCCGCGGCAGGGCGAGCTGATGCACAGCGCAGACTTCTGCCACCCTGCTGGGCTGTGCCCAGCAGTGAGCGGGGACAGAGGGGCCGTGGGCGTGGCCAGCTGCGGGCAGTCTGTGTGCCCACGCGACCACCAGGCTCCTGCCCCATCACCACAGCGCCCCGAAGAAAAGCAGGGACCCCCGACCTGAGGCAGGTTGGGGGCTCGGGGACTCTGAGGGCCAGGTGCCACCACTCCCGCCGCCACCGCCGTGTCCAGGGGCCCAGGGACCCGAGCGGCAGGACACAGGGCCCGTCTGCACAATCCCCAGCACCACGGGTTCTTCTGAGCGGCTGGGATCTGCCCCGGACATTGCCGGGTGCTGTCAAGACAACAGAAGGGAGGCAGCGAGGCCCGGGACGAGGGGGAGAGAGGCCGGAGAGAAACGGCGCCAAGACAGCGGCACCCGCCCCATCTCCAGCGGGAGGGGGCAAGACCCCCAGACACAGGTCGTGGGGTGGGCGCTGGGCCTTGGGAGAGGCCCCCGTGCGCCCCACCTGGGCAGATTCACCGAATGCGTCTTGGGTGCTGGGTGCTCCTGAGCAGGGGGGCGGCCCACAGCAGCTCCTGGAAGGCCACTCAGCAGAGCCAGGCCACAGGCAGGGGTCCGAGCAGCTGCCACGAATCAGGGCTTTCTACCTCTTTCTACCTGGGAAATTTCTCTCCGCTGTTCCCAGGCCTGCAAGTGGTCAGGCCAAGAAGCAGCGGCCGGAGGGTTTGCGGGCTAACGCGGCGGGTTCCGCCCTGGCATCGGCACGGAGCAGAGGACATGACCACCCAGACGCCTGCCCCCCGTCCCACAGAAGGCGGCAGTGAGTTCTGAGCCCGGGCCGACTGCTGGGGCCTGCTTGTCCCTGGAGAAGAGACCGGAGGCGTCCAGGGCAGGACAGGGCCCCAGGCCCCCTGGCACGCGGGAAGAAATGAGACGGCAGCACGCGGCGAGAGCACGGCAGGCACTCCCCGGTGGCAGCCTCGAAGACGCTCGGGCTCCACAGCGGGCACCTGCCCTGGCCAGGCGGCTGCTGGCCGGCAACAGGCACTGTGGCTCCCTCTGCGTGTGTGTGTGTGCACACGCGCGTGGGGCGGGGGGGGGGGCTTAAGCCAAGGGAAGCAGGACCCCAGCAGCCGGAGTCACCTACACACCCGCCTCAGCCACGTTTCCGGGCCTGGGCACGGGGTCACCTGGGAACAGGGCAAGGACACCCGAAGAGCCACTAGGGTGGAGGCCTGCAGGGGGGGCCAGCGATGTGGCGCCCTTCCTGGGACCCCACCATCTCTCACGCGCACACACACACAGAGCACCTGGCCGGGCGTGCCTTCTACCCGGCCTGCTGCTGCTCCCCGCCAAGGTGTGGCAACTGGCCGGGCTGTATCACATGCACCCTGAGATCCAGACACCACCCCCACTCGTACCCCGAGGCCATCCATCTGCAGGGCCCGGGCTGGGTGCTGGGGCCAGGTGGGCGCTTCCCCCAGAGGCAGCTCCTCACCCCCGAGGCCACATTTCTGCCTCATGGAAACGTGAGGAATGACGCTCTACTTCGGTTTCCAGGTGGACTAGACGGCCAGCTGTGTCCCGGCACTGTGACCCGTCAGGAGCCCGTGCCCCAATGGCCACTGCCGCCACCTGGGAATCTTCTGTTATTGCTTTTGGGTTTTAGCTTTTTGGGTCCCACCCGGCAATGCTCAGGGGTTCCTCCTGGCTCTGCACTCAGGGATCACCCTTGGCAGTGCTGGGGGACCCTAGGGGACGTGGGGGATCGAACCCGGGTCAGCTGCGTGCCAGGCAAAGCCCGACCCACTATACTGCAGCTCCGGCTCCTGCCTGTGAATCTTGAGCCCCCGCTGCCCAGCACTGCCCAGGACAGCTGCCGGCCACCGTCTCTCCCCAGCTGAGCACCCAGACGCTCAGCCCACTGCTATGGGGCCCGACCCAGCAAATTAGACGAGTCACTCGGGGCTGTTTCAGGAGCACGACGCTCCAACAATGGTCCCTGCACCAGTGTCCCCGGTTTCCCTCCTGCCTCTGGAGTCACTCTAGAATGTTCCGCCTGACACAGCTTGCAGAGTGCCTGTCGCTGGTCTGCTCCCTTTTGCCCAACCGTCCTAACGTGCCGGATCAACCAGCGCCTGGGAAACGCTAGCTCACAACTCCTGGCGTTAGGTGGAACATTTCAAAGGCAGAAGAACACACGTGCGAGGGCCGGGACGAGCCCAGCGGGAGAGTGGACACTGAGTGCTGGCAGCCCCTGGGTTCGAGCCTGGCCAAGGACCAGTGTGTGCAAGCACTCACTCATCTGCCTGGCACTGCGCCGAGCACGGCCCACCGTCCCCCCTGCCAGGATGGCCACTGTGCGCTGACACGGCAGCTGCAGCCTAAGCCACAGACCTCGGGCTTGAGAAACAGGCCACGGTGAGCGCAGGCGGCTGCCCGGGGCCAGGACATGCCGGGGGTGGGGGGGGGGCCGTGGATGTGATCACCAGCACAGCGCGTCCTCTGGGTCTGTCCGCAGACTGTGGTACCCAGAGGCGTCCCCAAGGCCCGCCCACCCACCCTCAGCCCATCACTGCGTCCCCACAGGTGAGGTGCCGTGAGGACGGGCGACAGCGGCGAGCCTGGCGAGGGGCGGAAGCGACGCCCGTGTTCCGGCAACGCCGAGAAGGTGCCAAGCACTCAGTCTCAACTTTTCGTTTTTGAGTTTTTTTTTCTTTTCGGGTCACACCCCGCGATGCACAGGGGCTACTCCTGGCTCATGCACTCAGGAATTACTCCTGGCGGTGCTCAGGAGACCATATGGGAATCGAACCTGGGTTGGCTGTGTGCAAGGCAAACGCCCTACCTGCTGTGCTATCGCTCCAGGCCCCCATTTTTGAGTTTTGGGCCACACTGGCGGTGCCTGGGGCTCCTGGCCCTGCACTCAGGGCTCACCCCTGCAGGTGCTCCAGGAACCGCATGCCGTGCTGGGGGATCGAGCTCGGGGCGGCCGCGCCAGGCCAGCGCCTCCCCCGCCGCACTGCCGCCCAGCCCGGGGCTTGACTGAGGCCAGGAACTCTGGGGAGGCAGGGCCTGACCCCTCCTCGGGGGCTGCTCCGCCCGGGGTGGGCAGGACAACCCCCAGGCCTGCCGGGCACGCGGGCACCAGCCCCCAGGTCTGCAGGGCCTCGGTGCCAGCCAGAAGGCAGCAGCGCCCGCCCCACCCACCCCCCAGCTGCCACGCACTGCCACCGCCATCTCCGAAGGGACAATGGCCCTGGGAAGGCCGCGCTGGCCCCACAAAGCACTGGTGTCCTGGACAAAGGCTCCCTCAGAAGCCCACAGCCAGGCCAGGCGCATGGGGGAGGCACGGACGCCGCCCGCGCCACCGCCGTTTCCAGAAGCTTCCAGGGCCAGGGCGGTGGCTGGTGTCCCGCAGTGCAGGAGTTCGGGGAGGTGGATCTGAGCCCGCACTGGGGGGCCGCAGGAGATGCTGAGGGTGAGGGCCCTGTCCTTCCTGCCCCGCCCGCCCAGACGCCAGCACCCAGGGAGCCCCAGGGGGAGCCGAGGTTGAGGGCCGGGCTGGGGGTCCCCGAGGGAGCGGGATGCCATGGAAGGAGGCTGGGACAGACTGACGGCATGGGGGGGTGATGAGATTCGGGGTGGGCGGAGGGTAGGGTCGGGGCGGGGGCGCCCTGCGGCTCATCCCCAGCTGGGGCCAGAGGAGGGGCGCGAGGCCCCTGAGGGGTGCAGGGGGCGGAGTTCGCAGGCCTGGACCCCCGAGGGTGACCAATCCCCCTCCCAGCCACAGGAGGGAGTAAGTATGGGGGCACAGGAGGCGTCCGTGTGGATCTCCAAGGGGGAGGGGTGCCGTTATGCCCTCAGGGCACGTTTCGGGGGTGGCAGGAGGAGAAAGCGCTGACTCGGTCTGGTCCGTTTCCAAGGGAGAAACAACCCGAGTTGCAAGGAAACGCGCGACAGACGTGGCAGGAGCAGGAGCTAACCTTTGCTTGCCATGGGCCGGGCCGTCACAGCAGGCGGGCCACACCCTGCAGGCTCAGGACCGCGAGACAGCGGGGGCTCAGGGACCCAGAGGCACAGGGCAGCGTCCAGGCCGACCACCGCGGGCCCAGGGAGAGAGGCCACGGGGGACAGGAGGCAGCACTGGTCACTCAGGAGGAGGTCGTGGGCATCTGGAAGCCAGGGACCGGGCTGGGAGAGGCAGGGCTGTGGCGGGAGCGGGGTCCCGAGTCCCCGCAGCCCCTGAGAGGAGAAGCCTGCCCGCCCCTCCAGTGGGCACCGAGCAGGGGTTCACGGCGACAGCTGGCCCGGGGCTCGGCGACACCTGACTCCAACCAGACCCGCGACTGCACCCCAGCCCGGACAGCTCAGTGGGCTACGCACCCCCGCCAAGGGGCTCAACCCACCCACTCCCTGCCTCGCCCTGCCCCCAGGCCTCCCAGCGCTGGGCTGACCTGAGCCCGTGGCACCGGGCTATCCAAACACTGAAGCAACCATGTCAGAGCGACCCCAGCCCGAGGGGCTGCTGGGCAGCAGTGGACGTGCCCTGCCCTGAGGGCGAGGGGCCCCTCTCCCGCCTGCCAGCACAGCACCTGGCCTGGCCGCCAGGCAGGGCCCCTGCCCACAGCGCTAACTCCAGACACCCCGGGTCGCCGTTGGCGGCCGCACCCCCAGGGCTCATTGCCAGCCCCAAGTGAGGCCTGAGCGACACCCAGCAGGGCTGGCCACAAGCACTCGCCTGGGACCCACCCCCACGATTGGCTCTCACTCACAAGGCTCAGATCACCCACCGTGTGCTCAGCACCACCTGGGAGAGCCCACCTGATGCCCGCCAGCCTCAGTGGCCCAGGCCGGAGATGTGGCATTGCCCACCAGTGAGCCCCCCCAGGCATCGCCGGCAGCCAGGCGGGCCCACCAAGACCAGAGTGTGGCTCTCCCTGTGCCGGGTCCTCAGACTCACCCCGAGATGCCACCTTGGCACCACCCCTTCCCACTGTCACTGTCCTCCTGTTGTTCGTCGATTAGCTCGAGCGGGCCCAGTAACGTCTCCATTGGAGACTTTGTTGTTACTGTGTCTGGCATATCGAATACGTCACGGGGAGCTTGCCAGGCTCTGCCGTGCGGGCGAGATACTCTCGGTAGCCTGCCGGGCTCTCCGAGAGGGGTGGAGGAATCGAACCCGGCTCGGCCGGGCTGGCTGCGTGCAAGGCAAACGCCCTACCCGCTGTGCGATCGCTCCAGCCCACCCCTTCCCAATATACTTTTTTTTCTTTTCTTTTCTTCTTTTTTGTTTAAACATGGAATGCTTCACCCATTTGCGCGTCATCCTCATGCGGGGGCCATGCTAACCTTCTCTCTATCGTTCCAATTTCAGGTCTGTGCTGCCCGGACGAGCACCGCAATATACCTGCAGGGGCCTGGAGGCTGCACCACAGCCGCTCCCAGGCAGACGGGCCCCTGTGCCACCCGGTGCCAGCTGGGGGAGCCACCCTGCGAGCTGAGACACCGGCGCCGGTTGCCAGGAGCCCCGGCAGGACAGCAGGGAACGGTCCCAGGGGAGCACTGGGGCAGACACAGGCCAGGCTGGAAACGCTCCTCCCGCTCCTTGCACGGGGACACAGGGAGAAGCACCCGCCGGGGGCCACGGGGCAGGGGCCCTGAGCCCCAGCACACGGGGGTCACCAGGGGACACCCCCGCGAGCCTCCCATCCATGAGCCTGAACCCAGGCACCTAAGCGGAGGGAGGTGCAGGCTGGCCAGCGGAGGCCCCACTCACGCCCCACCTGGGCGTGGGACGGGGGTACTGGACAGCACCGCGGGGACGTGGAAACCAGAGCCCGGGACACAGCGGGCCCAGGCTGCGGCTGCGGGGCCAGGCCAGCCTCCCCGGAGACGCCCGCGGCTCTCCTCACGCCCAGCTCGCCACGTCGGCAGGCTGGAGGGTCTCTTCCCCGGGGTGCAGGGGCTCCGGCTCTGGCCCGTGCCGTCCTTGGGGTGAGCGTGTTAATCGGACGGTCTCCCGGCGGAAGGCAGCGGCCTCTAACGCGCCGTGCCGCTGGCAGCCAGCCCGTGGCACGAACAGCCGCACAGGGTGTCCCCACCGGGTCACTCCAGCCATGCCAGTCTCCCTGCGCTCCTGCAGGGACCCGAAGGTCATCGGCGCTGCCCACAGCGCCCATCACAGGGTGGCCAGGAGCCCGGCCACGAGCCTTCTCGGCCCCCTCCTTGGAGGCAGCCCCGGTTCAGCCCCAGGCAGCAGGTACCCTGGTGGGAGTCGCCCGGGCAGGCTGCGTGCCGGGCACAGGGTCCCTGCAGGCTGGAGCCCCGCCCGCGGCCCACAGACTCCGACTCCTCAGCCCTGGCCAACAGCTGCGTGCCGGGGGACGCCCCAGTGGCACAGGGACAGGAGCAGCCAAGGGGGCCGAGAGGTGCCAGGGCTCCGGGTGCTCAAGGCCACTGCGGCCAGGCCCTGCCGGGGTGGCGGCACAGTCCCGCGCTCCAGACGAAGGGACGGGGTGGCAGAATCACCTCAAGTCCCCGGAGGAACACGCGTCACCACCACGAAGGTGGAAAGTTCGCTTGGCCTCCTGGGGAGATGCGGCCAGGGGCAGGTGGGCCGGGAAAGGCCAGCCGCGAGGGACAGCAGCGCAAGACGACAAAGCTGGAGACGCATGGGCTGCCCCCCTCCCCCGCCTGGACACAAGCTGGACACTAGCCACAGGCCCCGCTGCAGTCTAGCTACAGGAGCAGAAAGAGCGAGTTAAACCCACAGACAAGTCACCAAATACGAAGAAAGACCAAGGTGGGCCAGAGACAAGATGTGGGTACGGCGTGGCGCCCCGAAAGATCAAGGCACTATCAGCTCCAACAAACCAGCAAGCAAGAAAGAGAAGAGGGGCAGGAGCGATAGCACAGCGGGTGGGGCGTTTGCCTTGCACGCGGCCGACCTGGGTTCGATTCCCAGCATCCCATATGGTCCCCTGAGCACCGCCAGGAGTGACTCCTGAGTGCAGAGCCAGGAGTAACCCCTGTGCATCGCGGGGTATAACCAGAAAAACAAAACAAACAAACAAAAAAAGAGCAGAGTAAGAGGCCAGAGAGACAGTGTAGCCTGCAGGGTGCTGCCTCGTGCATCAATCACAGACCAAACCTCTGTTGGATCCCCGCCATCCTAAATGGTCCCCAGAGGGGCCAGAGAGCTAGGACTGTGGGCAGGGCACTTGCCTTGCCGGCAACTGACCTGGGCTTAATCTCCAGCATCCCATATGGTCCCTGAACACTGCCAGAAGTAATTCCTGAGTGCAGAGCCAAGAGTAACCCCTGAGCAGCCCTGGGTGTGTTTCTCCGCCTCCCCCAGCAAATAAATAAACAAATAAGCACACGTGCAGAAAGCTAGCCAGAGGCCCACACGCTGGAAGGCAAGGCCCCAGGCTGGAGCAGACTAGTCGAGCCAGGGAGGCACCAAGTTTAACAGGTGCTGAGGAACCCACGTCGGGCACTCAGAGAAACAGCAGAGGCATCCAGTTTGAACCCCCTTCTCCACGGGACAGGAAAGAAAGGCATCGGAGACGGGGACGAGTGACACAAGAAAGCAGCCTGGACGTGAGGAGGACGCTGCGGCACCAAGGCGGGGCAGGGGAGACACAGCGGGAACGGCGCCCGCGAAAGGCGACCGGCCAGGGCCCCGTGCCCCGCTAGGAGAGGCTCCAGAGTGCAGAGTCAGGAGGAATCTCTGAGCACTGCTGGGTGTGAAGCCCACCCCCTCCCCCCAAATAAAACAGAAAGGAGACCAAGATAACCGCGCTAGAGACGCGAGGACAGGCTGGCAGGCTGGCGGGCGACAGGTTCCATCCCAGCACCACACTGGGCCCAGCCCTGCCAGGAGTAATCCCGCGCCTGAGGCCAGCCCAGGAATTAGCCCCGAGCACCGCCCGGGGCGGCTCAAAACCAAACAAAACAAAATAGACAAAGGAATCAGAAGAACATCGAGAGACGCAGGGCAGGGAAACGGGAGCCGAGGGAGAACGGGGCAAGGTGTCCTGGTGCCCGGGTGCCAGCGGCTCCCGTCCTGCAGACGCTGCAGAACTAAACACTGTGCAGAACAGCTTACGCCAGTGCACTGGGAATCCAACTGAGCGGGCAGAGGAGACAAACCCGGAACACAGGCAAGGGACGTGTCCCAGGACACCGATCCCCCGAGTCGGGGGACGCAGCCCCCTGAGCACGGCCTTCGGCTGCCCTCCAGAAACAAACACAGTTGCCAGGCCAGGGGCAGCTGGGAAGGGCAGGGATGTGCCCTTCTAGAACGTAGCTGCCTCACACAGCAGGCCGGCACGGGGTCCCGGGGGCAGCTTTTGCAGAGGACACCCCGAAGCGGCCCCAGCACCTATTCCAAACGCTCACACAGACCAAGCAGAGACCCCCACACCTCCTGGGCAGGCTGCCAGAGGGCTGCTGGCACGGAAGAACGGGTGGCAGACGCACCCAGTGGCCAGGCTACCCAGGACCACCCCAAGCCTGGGGCCGGCATGGCTGCCAACTCCCACCTCTCAGAGACAAGGCTGGGCTGGGGGCCTCCACGGAGGGGAGCGGGTGGGCTCCCCAGGCCTGGCCCTGGCGCCCAGCAGTAGCTGCCGCCAGCCGCGCTCAGGGCACCAACGGGCCCGGGAATCTCCCCGGCCAGGGAGCCCGCCTCCCCTCCCACCCCCAAGAAACTGCGAGTCTCAAGTGGGAGAAAAAAAAGAAAACAAAAGAAAAGCTGGCAGAAGGACTGCAGGAATTTTGCTGACGAGGAAGTACCGGGCCTACGCTAGTAATCAGAGAAATCCAGATTCCAACCCGGTGCCGGGGAGCACTGCAGCCGGCCGATGGGCCGGCCAGCCAGGCAGGCGCGGGCAGGACACACCCTCCGCTCACACCTGCAGCCCCCTTCCCGGCAGGAAGTCCCGGGCAGGTGGCTGAGAACTTTCTGGCGTGTGTCAGAGGGCTGTCCCCCCCTCGGACGGGCGGGGGGACATGGGAACCCCCGGGGCTCTGATGAGGGACTCCGGGGTGGCAGGCCCAGTGGGGCTGGCAATGCCCCTGCAGAGCCCCTGGCCGGCTGGAAACGCTGGAGGGTCCCGGCCAAGGCAGACCCCCAGGGCCCACGGGGGCCATCCGGGAGCGCACAGCGCCCCTGGTCCGCGCCCTCGCTCTGCTCTGCAGTGGCCTGTGCCCCCGCGCCCTGCTCTGGGCTGTCCCGCGCCCCACCCAAGGGCGAGGGCGAGCTGCAGGGGTGCCCTGGGGCGCTGCTCCCGTGCTCCCGGCCGCGGGGGGCCCGCGGGCCACGAACCTCCCTCCCGGCCCCGCCGCCGAGGGGCCGAGCACATCCCGGCTGCAGAGGCCGGGCCAGCTGTCACCGGGCAGGGCCGGGCCGGGCCGGGCCGGGCCGCTCCGCGGGGCTGCGGCGGGCAGCGTCGGGCCGGGGGCGCGGGGCCCGGGCCGGGCGGCGCCAGAGGGCTGGGCCCGGCCCGCAGGACCCGCGGGCAGGGGCGCGGCGCGGCGGGGCGGGGCGGGCAGGTGAGGATGCGCCGCCCGCGGGCGATCGGCGGGCAGGGGTGGGCTGGGGCGCGCGCCGACCGAGCCGCGGGCGGGGCGGGGCCGAGCGGGGCGGGGCGGGACCCCCGGCGCGGGCGGAGCGGCTCGAGGGGTCCCGGGGTCGCCGGGGGGGGGTCCCGGCGGGCGCGAACAAAGCGGCGGCGCTCGGTACCTGGGCACGCAGCTGGGGCTGGAGCCGTCCACCTCCCAGGTGGCGAACAGGTTCATGGGCACGGGCGTGCCGAGCGCGCCGGGCGCGCCGCCGGGCCCCGGGCGGCCCCGCTCGGCCATGGCGCCCCCCGCCGCTCCTCGGGCCTGGGGCGGCGGCGGCCGGTCACATGGCCGGCGGGCGGCGGCGGCGGCAGCGGCGGCGGCGGGGACGGCCGGGCCGCGTCCGGCGGGCCCGCGGGCGGCGACCAGGCGGCGGCGGCCGCACGCCCCGCCCCGCCGCCGCCCATTGGCCCGGAGGGCTGCGCGCTCGCCGCCGCCCAGCCAATCGCCGCCCGCGCCGCGCCCGCCGGAAGTGAGGGGACGCGCGCGCCTCCCGCGGCGCCCGCAGCGCGCCCCGCCCCGCCCCGCCCCGCCCCGCGCCGCGCCGCGCCGCCCCGCGCGCACGGGACCGACCCCAGCCGTGCCCGGGACCCCCGCCGCCCCGGCCGGCTGCGCCGCGCGCCCTGCACGTCCCACCCCCTCCCCCGCCCTCCCGACCCCCACCTGCCGCCCCGCCGCGGCCCCGCCCCCTCCTCCTGGCACCCCAGCCTGCCGGCCGCTTTCTGGTGTCCCCGGCCCAGTGGCCGCTCCCGGCCGCACCGTCCCCTGCAGTCTCCGAATCTGCCATTGTCACCTAAGTCCACCGCCACCACCGCCCTCCCCCCCGCTAATCTGGGGGGGACCCTGCACCAATGCCACCTCACACACGGACCTCTGCGTCCACTGCCCCCTGCTTCCAACCCCTTGCCCAAGTTCCTGGTACCCTGTGCCTGTCCGGGGCCTCAGCAACCAGCGGTGCTGGCCTGCGTGGGACAGAGGACCTGTGGTTGGCTCCTCCCGGGGACAGACCCGGGACACCCGCCTAAGAGGCCTCCTCCCGGGGACAGACCCGGGACACCCGCCTAAGAGGCCTCGGGGCACCAGGCAGGTGACACCAGGAAGACCCCCTGGGCTGTGGCTGCAGCACTGGAGAAGGCCCAGAGGAAGGACATCTAGGTTTCAGGGTGTTGTTTGGCGGTCCCCAGGCCCCGTGAGGTTGGGGGAAGCGTTTCCAGCTGCTTCTGATGCCCAGCGGGCAGCACGTGTCCGGCCAGGCTGACGGCCCCTGCAAGGCTGCAACCTCTGGTGGGTCCAGTCCCTGCTGGAAGCCAGGGGCCAAGGGAGCCCACGTTACCTCTCCCCACCAGCCACCATAATGCGCAGTGTCCCTGGGCCCCCCGGGAGGGGAAGCGCAGGCCAGAGTCCCCACCCCACAGCAGGACAGCTGGCCCGGGGGGCACTGGGCATGCTGTGTGGCCTGTGGCAGCCTGGGGCCCGCATAGACAGGCGCAGGGCGTGGAGAGGAGTGACACAGGGCCCACCCAGCAAACAGTGCTGTCCACGGGCTCCCCAGTGGCATGTGGCACTGTCCCCTCTCGGGGAACTAGGTAGGCGTCCCGCTGCTCACAATACCCTGTACTAAGCCTGGCATGGCGACACCTTGTACACAGACACACACTCCACACTGCACACGCACCTCCCACACCACACACACATGTGCCACATTCCACGCAGACCCTTGCCGCACACTCCCACCACTGTGAGTTTCCAAAGAAAAGGCGTGTGGGTGCACGCAGGACTCAAGTGTTCGGTGGCTGAGAGCCGTTCCCCTGGCTGGCCCGTGGTGACAGACAAAGGAAGGACCGGGGAACTGAGAAACGGCCCCAGGCTGGTCGGTGGTCAGTTTATTTCTCCTCCCCAGTGTAGTCAGATCTCTCCCCTTACAGAACAATCATAGTTTTGGTCGTAGTCCCAGTCATCACAGTTCCCTCATCCTGGTCTCCTCGTAGACCTCAAAGTCCTCCACCTCCTTAACTCCTTCCTAGTCTCCTCATAGTCTCCTAGTCCCCTCTTTCCCTTACAGCATAGTTATATAGAATCATGAAGGGTGGGGTACACATAGGTGGGGTTGAACACTGTCATAACAGCAAACAGAGGTAAAGCCCCTCCTCCAGGGGAAGTTCTAGGGGATTAACTCAAGGACAGAATCTCATCTGAGGGTTCGCACTCCAGATTGCTAGGAGATCCGCTCAAGGGCGGGATCCCATCCAGGGTGTATTGCTTTTGCCTTTCCTCAGCTAGTAATCCACTTAAACAATCATCGTAAATTTACTTCTTATAATATTTCTAGCCATTTTGCATGAACACAGTAAGATATATTAAGTTTAAAGGATGGCACTTTTGGGGGACATCTCGCTATATAACCCAGACCACAGTCCTCAGGCCACGTGAGTCTTTCCTAACCCCAATAGGGTCCTTAATTCTTTTTGGGTCATGACAGAGTTTGTTCCATGACCGTGCTCTTAACTTATTATACTTATGGCACTTAGCTTGTCTCCTTTCGATGCCAGGGTAATTTACAGCTTTCCCTGGGTCCATCCAGTCCCTTCCTCGGGACCCTCCTTTTTTGGGTGTTAGGAAATACCTCCGCCCCTCTCAGAAAGCCCGGCAAACTACCGAGAGTATCTCGCCCACACAGCAGAGCCTAGCAAGCTACCCATGACGTATTTGACATGCCAAACACAGTAACAACAAGTCTCACAACGGAGACGTTACTGGGCCCACTCAAGCAAATCGATGAACAACGGGAGGACAGTGACAGGAGATAAGGGCAACTGAGGTTTAAGTTAGGTAAATATGATGGATGCCCAGGAGTAAAAATTATTTGGGAGTCAATTAACTCCCACGTTACAAAGCATAGCATGAACTGTCTTCCTGTGTCTGTACAAAAAGGACGTTGCTAAATAACATAAAGGAAAAGAAAAGCAATAAAGGACTATGGAATTGGGTGTGCCTCAGGGGCACTGTTGTGGGAGTAACTCAATGAACTGAAGTGCCCTGCGGGAGGTCAACCCAATGTGATTCAACACACCACCTCCCACTCACCACACACACCGCACACAACACATTCGTTACACAACCACACTCACCTTATATCACGCTCGCCACACATACACACCACAAGCATCACAACAAACACCACATACACACTTTGCTCACCTCACCACATGCTTTATAGAGCCCATCACATGCTTCTCAAATGCATTGGGAACACATGTGCTCCTTTCTTTTTTCTTTTTCAGTCACACCCAGTGATGCTCAGGGGTTCCTCCTGGCTCTGCACTCAGGAGTTACTCCCGGCGATGCTCAGGGGACCATATGGGATGCTGGGCATCGAACCTGGGTCGGCTGCGTGCAAGGCAAATGCCCTCCCCGCTGTATTATCGCTCCAGTTCCACATGTGCTCTTTCTGTGACTTTTCCTTCAAGTGCTCCTTACTCAAGAGATCACATCCACAGAACTGGGGTGTCCCAGCTTGGTTGGGGAGACCCTTCATTCTGGATGACACCTCAATTCCTTTTTTGTTTTTCTTTTTGTGTTGAGGTTGTATCCAGCGATGCTCAGGGGTTACTCCGGGCTCTGCACTCAAGAATTACTTCGTCGCCCTCTCCTCTCTGGAAAGAAAGATGGCGGCCGCACGGGAGCCTTGTGGACAGCCGGTTTGAGCCGGGGGTCGGGGGCAGCAAAAAACTCATGGGAAGGGGGGCGTTCCGGCCCGTCCTTCACGCCCTACCAAGGTCACCAGTTGCCCCCCACAAGCGGCTCTCCGGCACGGCCACGACTCCAGAGCACAGAAACCTATCTCTTAACTATCTAACTTTTAATAGAAATACTTCCAGGGTTAATAAGTAAAATAGCAGAAATTCAAAACCGCGCGGCCGCAATAGCGGCCGCACGACATCATTTAATTCTTAAACCCAGCTGTAGAAAGCAAATCATTTCACAATGCTTTTTCAGTATGTCTGATTGGGGGGGGTCATAAACTCTAAATAATAATGGTGCATCTTTTATCAAAACAATGAATCTAGTCAAAGTAGATAGAGTGTTAACTAGAACTCACCTGCCTCACAGGAATTGGGAGGGGTGGGAGGTGGGGTTCTATTGGGGTTCGCGGTTAAAAATAAGTATTGGTAAAGGGAAATGTGTTTGATATTTACATGACTGAGACCTAAACCTGAAAGCTCTGTAACTTTTCCCACAGTGATTCAATAAAGAAATAAATTATTTAAAAAATTTAAAAATTAAAAAAAAAAGAATTACTTCGTGGCAGGGCTCAGGGGATCACGTGGGGTGCAAGGATGGAACCCGGGTCAGCCATGTGCAAGGCAAAGGCCGTCCCCGCTGCATCCTGGCTTCCGCCCTTGAGTGATGTCCGTGAGTGTACTGCGTCACACGGGTGGCCGGATGAGGCGTGTGGCTCCTGTCCTAAAGCCGCCCTCCTTGGACACTGCAGTGCAGCCCATCTCTTGGTTCGGGCTGATGTGGCCCCAGGCAGCGGTGCTGTTGTGCAGAGGCCCTGGATGCTGTCCACACAGCGGGAGTGGGGGACGGGAAGAGAGGGGCATTGTGGGGTGGCCTTGCTCTGGGCCCAACTCGGGTTTTGTGCGGTGGGCGGGCTCCATAACTCAGACATGGACATTCGGGAGGCCCGAGCCCCAGCCGCCCAGCTCACCCCTCTGAGGGCCCCCGAGGCCGGAGGGCCCAGATGGTGACAGTGTGGCGCCCGAGGGAACATCCTACAGGATGCCAACCTGCTTATTCGCACCCTGGTAAGCTCCGGACCACGGAGACGCCTGACAGAAGAGTGCCTGAGTATGTCTGGCCGCAGCCCAGCACCCCCAGGTGCAGGGCCGAGCAGTGCCGGGGTGCCCCCAAACAACAGGAACACGTTCTGGGGGCAGGCACAGGCCGCCGGGGAGAGGGCCAGGGAGCACTGTTTGTGGAGGCCAAAGGTGCCGTGGGGGCGCCGAGGCAGACACTGGCACTGCTGGGCTCCAGAGGAAAGGGGGCACCCGGCAGGCAGGTGAGTGTTCCAAGGACTTCCAGAAAGGGGGTAGCACACCTGTCAGCCTGGACAAGCGGGTCCAGCCCCACAGGCCACAGGAAAGGGCAAGTGAGGCAGTGCCTATCACCTTCACGGCCAGCAGCGAAGGCAACATGGAGGGGTAAGTCCCGCAGAGACCTAGCATGGCTCAAGGTCAGGCAAGGTCAGGGCGAGTCAAGGTCAGAATGAGTCAGGCAGGTTAGTCGGGC